TGTGGATGGGTCGCTTGCTATTCGCCGAGCCACGAACATTCGGTTCTACACATTCAGTATTCGGTGAATAGCGAGCGACTGCTCGCCGAATCCCGAGTAGTGTGGATGGGTCGCTTGCTATTCGCCGAGCCACGAACATTCGGTTATACACATTCAGTATTCGCTGAAGTGAGCGACTGCTCGCCGAATCCCGAGTGGTGTGGATGGGTCGCTTGCTATTCGCCGAGCGACGAACATTCGGTTTTACACATTCAGTATTCGGTGAATAGCGAGCGACCGCTCGCCGAATCCCGAGTGGTGTGGATGGGTCGCTTGCTATTTCGCGAGTGCCGAACATTCACTGCTCTCTCTACCAACCACGTGTCTGTCTTTTGGACTCGTCAAAGGAAGCGAACATTCTCCGAGCAGATCAGCTGCTCGGGATTGGACGAGAAATAGGCGGGTATACGATTATAATTCGCTATTCGGCGAATGATGAGCATGTGGAGCCGCCTTTATACAATAAGAAAGACAGGGAACTGGGCAGAGAAAAAGAGAAACAAAATTGGGCTTATGTAGCTCTTCGCGTACCTAACAGACAGCGTGCTGGTTTTCAGTGAGGCGTTCCCGGGTTCGATTCCAAGACAGAGCAAAAATGAAGCTGTAGCTTTCTAATACAAATCGTCACATTTCTATGGGTTGTGATGAAAGACAAGCTTAGGCAGGTCCAATAAGCTAGGTATACTGATGGGAATACATCAATACATCATGCTTGACACATCTCCCGTTCCTTCAGGAGTGAATAAAATAATATAATAATAATAATAATAATAATAATAAATTAAGAAACAAAACAGGGACTAAGCCTGGGAACACCGCTAGCTCGCAAATGTCGGATTAATTCGACCCCAACTGCCAAATACCTACGTATATATAGCTTACGAGAGTAGGAGAACAGAGTGAGATAAATTTATTTACAAAATAAGTGAGTAAACGACGAAATCGTGCAAAAATGGCTTCGAAAAACAGCTGCAAATCCCTAAGGACCAACACTGATGTTTGATAATTATATTCATTTTGTAGATGTCATTTGAAGTTTAACTCACATTTTTTCGTTGTGTCGTTCTAGAACATAATGTAGAACATACGTATGAGGAACTTTCACTTTCAAAACTCGTACATTATATTTTCTTAACTGTTATGTCAGTAAAACATCTGTTTGTTCGTCTGTCTGTACATCGCCTAAACCGTTCAGCCGATTTTCCCCAAAATGTGTATTCCTCGATGAGTTTGAAAATGAAATTTTTATTTTGTGGATACTTTATATAAATCTTCCATAACATTTCGAAACGTTTCTCAAAAATTGCATCAAATTTTTTTAATAAACTTTGTCGTCGGATAGTGTAAAGAACACTTTAGAGTATAGTGGAGTCATTTTCATTGAAATTCCAGATTTTTCAAAAATTGCAAACGTTTACTTTTTTTGAGTGTCTTCCTACACCTATAATATTGGAGACATCTTTTTTCTTAATAAAATATGTTCATTAAATACCGATTTTGACATGGAGCCATGTACAATTTTTCGAAAATTTCGATAACTTTATGTAAAATATTAGTTTTCTGATTTCGAATCTATTTTTAATACCTACTTTTACAAATTTAAGTGCTTAAGGGACACTACAACATTCCTATACACGTACACTAAGCTATCGAGGGGATATTTACAGCGTGGATGTTTATTTCCAGGTACATCCACTCCAAAGAGAAACCGTTCAAATGCGCCGACTGCGGCAAGGGCTTCTGGCCAGTCGCGGACTGCTAGCCGTGCACCGCACTCTGCACATGGACGAGTCCCGCACAAGTGCCGGTGTGCGCGCCTCCTTCAACCAGCGCTTCCAACCTCAAGACGCACCTGCTCACGCACACCGACCACAAACCGTACGAGTGCGTGGGCTGCACCAAGAACTTCCGCCGCAACTGCGATCTGCGCCGCTCACGAGATGACGCACTGCGCTCCGCCTGGGACGGTGGAGCTGCTGGCGGCGGCGGTCGGGGCGCCGCCCCCGCCACCCCCCGCCGCCCCCGACCGGCCTCGACCTGTCGGTGTCCGCCGCCGCCGCCCCCGACCCGGCCCTCGCCGCTCACAACGCGCCGCCCCCTGCGGTACCACGCACCCGCAAGTTAACCGGCTTCTCCATCGCGGACATCATGTCTCGGTAGGCTGACTTCCAGGTCGAGGCTGGAGCCTGCGAGAAACTTCTTTAGGCCAAAGATGTACTGTGTCGTTGTTGGGTGTTCGACGAGATGTGTTTTATCGTTCGATGTGCAATGCATGGATGTCGATATGTAAATAGTTTGGCGAAGGGACCTTTCAAGGAAAAAAACAAATCGCCAAAGAGACTTTATGGGACGGAAATTTCGCCCTTCTTTGTTGTATTTTCGGAGCAGGAAGAAGTGAATAATGTGCTTGAGAGTTTCATTTCGATTTGAGTTAACGGGTTTTCTCAAGTATTTCTTGACGTGTTTTTTTGTAAAAATTATCTTTGTTTTTGTACGAAAAAAAGCAAGTATTTCTCTCACCATGGAATGTGAGCTATAAGCTGGTTGTTTTTGCTTAATTCACCAATACTGCTCATAAACAGTACCTAATATCCAGAAAGAAATGGATTGATATTTCCAGTTTAAGGAAAACCACGTACCACCAAGCAATCAATGTACCTATTCCAGTAATTAGAAATTAAGTAAACTACAAAATATTTTCATTGTAGTCTTCCTAATTAAAAAGACCAATTGTTATGTAATTTACAGTACGTAACATCTTATAACAATGGGAAGTTACTGATCTCTAGTCATGTTTTCATTACAATTAGCACTATTGTGCACAACACTGTGGAAACGTTCGTGATAAACGTTAACATTCATCCTGAAACAGAAATATCGATATCAATCCTTTTCTTGTCGAAATACATTAAAATATTCTTTCCGAATCAGTTTGTATGCTTCCATGTACATCTACTTAACTGAATGTTCTTTGGTCAGTCTAGATGAACCATTGTATTGGCCAATGAATGGAAATAATTGCTCAGTATAGACTTAAAACTCATATTCTTTCTGAAAGTCTTCCCCAATGTATTTTATATCAATTTCGTTTCGTTGCAATATAATACGTATTGTACATGCAATAAAAATGGATTACAATATTTTCGATTCATGTTATTTGTATTCAGGTCATCTATGGGATTGCCTGAACTCTTTAAAGTTCCTAGTCAAGTTGAGTTGTGCTTTACTTTAGACTGACATTTATTAGTACAGTTTTATACAGCGAGACGAAATATGTGTGTCTGGGAGACTGTAGGAAAAGAATTGAACATCTAGTCGGACAATTCCCTTATTCATGAATACAGTTTAATTCACTGGTGTGTTGAAAGAATATACAATGAATCTCTTTGTACATGATGAGCAGCTTACATTTAAAAGAATAGTCAGTGTAAAGTATCTAAATCTCGCCTCATATGTAACAAGGGAAACATTCTTAACTTAATATTCATTATTTTTTGTGGGAAAATTTTAAATGCATGTTACATCTTAAGTTTTGATCTGGTGACATTATGTTTTCAAAAAATAATTCAACTCACAAAAATAGAAAATTATTATTTTATAAATTCGTATTTTCTATTTTTGACAAATCAGTTTGATGTGTACTGTAATGGTACAAATATATTTTGTCTATTGTAGCCCATTACTACCATTTTCATAATAGTTTAAAATCTTCAACAGATTAAATAAGAATAGTCACTGATTCCAGCTTATCTTACTTTTGGAATTTGCAGAGAGGTTTCAATCTGACAGTGCATAAAATGCACATTCAGATTTTTTGTTGACTGTATTTGCGATACAAAAAGTTTGATTAAAATGTGAAGAGGTTAATGTCCATATCTGTTCAAAAATACACAAATTCTTAAGTTACATGTAATTTGAAGTGTACATGAGTTACGTACTTCAAAGGAAAGTTACCGGTGTCGAGTTCATTTTGAGCCAAAGACGTGACGTCAGGAAGAAATAGTGAGGTTACCGCTCGCACCAAAGACATTGAAATAACTCAATCTTTTTCTGTTCCTGCTCCTTTGCGGCCGGTGTATATAGAAATGTAATTAATATATTTATGTAGTTAGTGTGTGTTGTATATTTTATTGTTTGTATATGTCTCTCAAAGAACGTCTACTCCCGAATTCATTGATTTTCTCCCTAAGCCGTTTCCGTTTATCACACAAAATTGCATTGAATACGATGAGGAATGCAAAGTATTTTTCTCGATAGATACGACATCGGTGTTGTCCCGTTAACAATACATTATAATTTGAGAGTAATAAATTCTCAAGACACTGTTGAGAACTGTAAATATCGAAAACCTACCCGAAAATACGAGCAAATGCAATTTGCGATTAAATGTAATTAGGAATCAAAAGTATTTAATCGACCATTTTTCGCAAATTGTTGGGAATTCATTGCATCAGCGCGGAGATTTTTCCTCGCACATCTGTTGGAGCTACGTGCTATCTATGTGATTGGCGTACTCGCATGCTCCTAAAGGAGCAGATTTAATTCCCCGCCTTCAAAATTTGTGTGTTTTGGCACGGCCGAGAATGATTCCGCGCGGGCTATATCAGCTTGATCTACGGCAGACTCCAAAGGTCAAACCAACACCCTAATATGAGCGCATCCCTGTAACAATATCAACACAATCGGCGGCCTTAATCAGCTGCCCCTGTAGGTTGCTCGAACTGGGGGGGGGGGGGGGGCTGATCCACGAGGGGGGACGAGCGGGGGGGTTGGGGGCTAATCTTTTCATTTGTTCCCGGGGCGGTCTGCCGAAGGCTTCCAATTTCGCCGATGGGCCTTCGTGCAAACATTGGCTCAAGTCATCCGTCGCCCCCCTCCCCCGCCTGTGGGTTCGCTCCCGCAGCACGTAGCCCGAACACGTGCGAGAAATTGGGGCACGTGCTCGGAACGTGGGCAGTCAGACGTTCTTTGGAGACGCGGCGCCATGGCGGCGACGCACGTGCCGGAGGAGTGCAAACTGGCGGGCACACTCTCGCGACGACTTGCAATTCACATTCGAAACTTCATCAGGTTTAACTTCCTCTATAACTATTGGTGTATGAATGCGCCCTTCAGTCATTCAATCATCAAAAACGAGTCACGTAAATTGAACCACTGAAGAGCGTAGATGGCTTGATGTGGGGAACAACATTGAAAAATTATCGTCCTCCTCCGAACGTAATAAAATTAATTGATTTCGTGTGTGAAAAGAGAAAGCTTTTAATTTGAATTTATCAAAATTTGAAATTTGGAATTTAGTGTTATGACATTAAAAAAATTATCCCTTTCATCCCAATATGAATTGGTTCAGCTATTCTTATATTGAATGATAAGAGATATCGTTTTACAATTTTTATATACTATTTCACTGTTTATTTTAATCGACGATTTTGAGTCAAATTTGAAATCGACGATTTGAGTAAGAAGTTTTAGCAAATTTTATGATAATTTTTTCATTTGATAAATTTAATTTTAAAAGTTATGAGAGTCGTACTTTCGTCTAGTTCGTGTCTGACCATTAACCTTAATTTTTATTTTTATTGGACCAGCTATATTATATATTTAATTACTTTTAAAAATAACAAAATAATACTTAATAACGTAGATGAGAAGCAAGTATTTTCACATCAGCGATAGTATTATCCATTAATAGATATGAACTTAAAGTCCATTACATTGCATTAAAATCAAGAAAAAATACGCATGAATTCATATAATTCAAAAGTCTTCAATGTTTTTATTATTTTGTGAATCGTATTTTCAGGTATATTTATGAAACACCGAAACACAAATTCCACGATTGGTTATATGTTAAAATACATCTTTGCTTTCTCTCTTTCATTCACATCAATTGGCATGGAATTGCGAGTCGAGACATTTCTGAATCAACGAGGGGCTAACCAGTATGCACGACTTCGCACCGAATCCTGGAGACTATTCCTCCAACTACCTCCTCCTCTCCTAGTCCTACAAGCCACCTCTCCTTCCCACCTGCACAGACCCCTTCGCAATTTAGGAAGAGGAGTTCTAAGCAAATTGAATATGTTGTACATTACTCGAAACTTAATATTAGTGACACGCACGGTACCTGGAATGTTCTAGGTTCAATAGTAATTACAGAAATGTGAAATAAATATGCTCAAAAGAACGGTCCTTGTTTATATTTTTATTGTCCTTCATCCCAAACCATTCCTTAATACTCGTAACTGAGTTTATTGTTTACACTTATATGACCAATTGAAGAGCTTATGTTTCTGCAAAGAATATTATAACATTGAAATTTCTTTGTCGTGGTCCTGATATTTGCAGCAAAATTATGGATTCACTTTTGTACCGATCTATTGGTGGGGTATATTGGAATAATGAAAGATTTCGCCTTTATCACCATGTTCATTATTAATTATACAATAACAATAAAAAGATTAGCAGCTTTTGGTAACATTGTCATCGTCAGATCTGTGCTATGAAAGGTGAATTCTATATTTGAAATAATCTTTAATAAAAATGCTGATAAAGAAAATATTTTTCACTACTTTTCCCTTCATGGTTTTTACCAAACCAATTTGAATAGCATTTTTCCGATCTCTACCTAGTGTTACTGGTGATGAACAAATCAAACACTAACCTCATCTCTTTTACACCATGTGAAAGTTGAGTGCGCTATAAATCAAACTTTGATGCGAGTGATACAAATTTAATTACAAGTCAAAATAACCAAAATTA